GGAGGGAGCAGAGGAAAAAAGTGTCCGCCTTCATCGAGAGCAAGAGAGAGAAAAAAGCATAAGCTTCTTAAGTGTAAGTCTTCTCAGCCTGCATCAAATAAGACTAATAATGTATGGAGCAATCAAAATCGACCTGCAGGATGAATTCTTGACCTCCCCGCCGATCAATCTTTGTCATAAATACTGTAAAAGCAAAAAGGAGACGGCTGTTTGTTTGTCAGGATGAGAACTTATTTACAATCTGTGGAGGATAAGGTAAGGTAAGCTTATCCTACTTTTCACTTTTATGTGTAAATATTAGCAAATTGCTACTCACTACATTTTAATTTGAAAGCCTACAACTTGTCTGAAAGCTACTTGGGGAAAAAAATGCAGGTTGCTTAAAATTGTAAAACTTGACAGCTTAATGGGTTGATTTTTTTTTGTTGTCATTTTATTTTGTTCATGGACCAAGGAATTATTTACAAGCAGTTTAAATTTCAGCAATAGACATTCAGTTCATGTCTGTAAAAGTTTTATCTGTAGGTTTAGACATTGGTCTAGTCAAAGCACTGGTATGGAGACACCAGTAAAAACAAGAAACCAGCCTCCCTTTATGAAATAGGAAAACAAGCGTACGAGTTTGACATCAGTGCTGAAAAACTCGTAAGTCTTTTTACGATTAGTGATGGCGACCTGCTAAAGATAACGCGTTTAACGTTGATTCTTTCTCTATGGTTCACAACGCCTCATGAATTCCATGTTTTGTTGTTGTTTTTGTAGCATTTGTCCGGTCATTGATCAGTTCCTTTTTATGTCCTGTAATATGCAGACAGGAAGTTTTTGCTATTGTACTAAACATTTTAACCGGTTATGGATGAGTCACGAAAGTGAGTAAGTCCTCCACTCTGTCTGTGTTCTTTGTAGAAAGTACATTACCATCCATCATGTCTAATGGATAATCAAAATAATATTCCTGTCCAAACGTAGTGTACGAAGATGGAGCACCGTTTCTTAAACTAAAACGTCGCTATTGTTGGAAGTAAATGGGTTCTGTTAAGAAAATAAATTTAAAATATGCTATTTTTAAAACTTAACATGTCTTGATTGAAATAGCCTAATTATGGTTTTCAGATTAATAACTTATTCTGGCCTATTGACCTTTATGTTACCTATAGTTACAGCAGATGGTTTGCTAAGATCTTTTGAACTGCCCTTTGTCTGTGTGGGAAACAATCAGGAGAAGTTCCAGCTTTCACACTGATCTGTGAAAAGCCATAAAACAGCAGGAGTTCAGGAGAAGCTCTGCTCTCACTTTGTTTAGACAAAAGGGACAAATGGCCTTTGATTTTGCAAATTGCAGGGAGTTTCTAACTGTTAGAGAGGGTCCGAGACAGCTCCTGGTTGGATGAGCAAAGGTACGCCTTAATTAAATATATTAAAGACAAGAATACGCCTTTACTATAAAAATGTGTGCACGTGAGGAACAAACTAGATTTGCTCTCGCAATTCTCCAAAGACATCTTTGCTTTTCTTTCTTTCTTTCTTTCTTCTTTTTCATTTGTCTCAGGTAAATGAATGTATGTCTCTGTTGTTCAGCAGCTTCTGTTGTAATTTGCATAAATTGTCTTCTATTGGATTAAACTCTGAAATCTACACTCATTGTTGTTTTGTGTGTCTACACACGGCCCGCCGGGAGAACCTGGGATCTGTAAGAAGATTGAGCCAGAGATATTTCCCCAAAATATACTATAACTTAAAATCATCTTCAGCAGTTCAGAGTCCACAGCAGGATTTTTTTTGTTTTGTCATTTTTTTTTTTTTTTTTTTATAAATGCATGTTCTGAGAAATCCTGTCTGGAAAGTCAGACATTTTGTACTGCTTCACAGAACTTGCAACTCTTACCATTTATTTGTTTTTATTTATAAAAAAAAAAAAAAAAAAAAGTTGATTATTTCAATAACTTGTTTATGACTAATTCTTTATCAACGTCTCAGATGACACAGTTTAACATCGTATACCCATACGCATTTACATATAATGGTTTGATATGTGAAATACTTTTTGTTTGACTTTGACTATAATACCAGCAATCATTTAGATTTTGTTGTCATATTTTCTAGTCACAGCGGTTGACAGTAAATGGAAACCTTCTGAGGTGAAATAGTTCTCCTTTGGTGTGGTAAAAAAATCTTTTTTGACTCTGCGTGTCGTTAAACACTTCCACTAATGAATGCAGGAGCAGCCTGCCTAATAATTGCATCATCAAATTTTCTGATGAGTCTGTTTTTTTCTCCTCGTGGCATGAGGATGAATGCTCCCCAGTGTACTTTAAAGAGATTGATGATGAGCCGTGGTGTGACAGCCTACATTTAATGTTTAATGTTATAAAGGGTCAGGTTATATTTCGCAATATTTCAGTCCATTACTGCGTCGTTACCAGTAACAAAGGGTTTTAATGGATCGGTATCCTGAGAAACAGGGAGGTTCCTCTGGTTTTCTCTTAAAATATTTTTACATTTTTGTGTTTTATTGGAGGACGGGGAGCTTTAACATCCAAGTGCAAAGATTTAGAATAAATTCTGAATGCAAGCTGCAGACATGGGTAGAGTGGCCAAAAATTGTCTTCAAGGATGAGTAGTACTGCTGAATACGTGGATAAATATGACTTCTTGGTTTGCTATTTTTAATAAATGTGCAAAAAAAAAACTCACGTGTCGTAAAATATTGTCACTAAAGGGTATTTGTGTGTAAAATTTTGAGAAGAAATTCATTTGATACAATTTTAAGTAAGGCTGCCACAAAATTATAACATTGCTCAATCTGTCTTTTGTTTATTTTATTTTATTTTCGCTATATTTATTAGTGTCTTTTAGATAGAAAATGCTAATCTTACACACTTTGAAATTCTTTGAGGTGTCAGGATAGTAGTAGTAGTAGCAGTAGTAGTTGGTGTCTGCAATCTTCAACTTGCTGCAAAAAAATGTATGACACACCTCTGGAAAGAGAAATAATGTGATAGAAAAAGTGGGTAGCATGATAATAAAATAGCTTTTGGCTACTGTCCAGGGTTTCTGACTGCGAGTTCTAAACAAACATGGAAAAACAGGTAATGTATACAGTAGCTGCAAGACAGCTGAAGTACTGCTGGTCCAAAAAGTCTTTCTCGTGCTCTGACAAATTTGTGTTTTAATTGTACTAAAATGTAAAAGACCTTTTTGCCTCCTTTATTCGCTTTGGAAAATTGTGCACTTCGTAACATGCACTTTGATAAAAACACACAAAATCTGTCCTAAATAATATGATTATACGGCTCTGGAAAAAACTGAGACCACTTCACTGAACCCCTTTGAAAATCTCCTGGTTATTCCACCAAATATTGATTTCTGAACTCTTCCTGAGTTAAAACACCAGTATTGTTGTTTCTAAATAAACATGAACTTGTTTTCTTTGCATTATTTGAGGTCTGAAAGCACTGCATCTTTATTGTTATTTTGACCGTTTCTCATTTTTTGCAAATTAATATTCAATTTTTGCTTGGAATTTTGGAGACGTCAGTAGTTCATAGAACAAAAGAACAAAGTGGTTTACATTAAAAGGCAAATTTGCTCGTATTTAGGTACGAGCAACTGACTTTACTGTTGATGTAAAGTCAGTTGTAATAAATGGTTTTACACAACAAATAACATAAACTTACAAACTAGATATTTTACTTAAAGTGAACTTCCAATAACATTTAATGCTGTTACAACCAAATTCTCCAAACTGAATGGTTTTCCTTTTCAATATGGCGCACGCTTTGATGTGCAAAGAGTTCAGGCAGTCAGTGCTGCTTTTAGCTATTTCTCTATTTACTGGCCAAACACAGCCAGAAGCAGGACCAATTTTTAAAAGTTCTGTTTTCAATTAATAGAAAAATGACCAAACAATGCTATTATTCATGAAGGATCAATAGTTTAAAACAATTTGAAATCATTGTTTACCTCTAATCTCTGTGACAGCGACTAGCTAGTTTTTGGCTAGCAAAAACTAGCTGCTTTAAACAGCAATGATTCATTGACTTAACCTTATATTTAAGCAGTCTACCTTTAAATCTTTGATTTGAACATGTATATGAAAGGAAATATATACATTGAATTTGCATTTGCAGTAAATAGTTAAATAATAAAATAATATTTTTAAGTTCTCGGGGAACCATACACCAATCGTTGGTTCCTCAGTTGACAGCATATCTTAAACAGAATAAATAATTGAGCCTTATGCTGATAATACTGGCGTACAACAACCACCAGCATGATAATATTGTTGTAATATATATATTTTTTTTTTCTCTTTTTTTAAAACTCCTCTTCCTCTGTTCTTCTTCATGAAATCCAATTAACAGGAGGAGGGAGCTCTGTGGCTCCACACTGCATCAATTATTCATTGTGGGCTTTTTTTTTTTCCACAGCAGATTCCTGGGAGTTACTGTGAATATTAAAGACCTGGGAGATGCCGACAGACCAGATGTGTTACATCGCTCTCATCTGATGGATCTCTCAGGGATTCAACCAGTTCTCTTCCCCCCCTTCGCTTTGCTCTCCGAGTCGCCAACCTCTGCCAAGCAGCTGTACGCCCCGATATTTCACCCAGGTCTGCTGCGATAAACTGCCAGGGCTAAGAGGCAACTTCAGACTTGCAAATTGCATACCGATTCCCCCGACTGGGAGGTGTATTTACATTGTTGTTTCCGTATGGGGTTTTTTGTAAGCTATGAAAAAAAAAAAAAAATAGAGAAGAGTTTCCCGACGAGGCACGGCATATTTAAAGGGAATACTGTTGAATTTTCTTAGAGGTGTGAATCCATGTTTATTTCATATTCCGTGGTGGAGAGGGTCTATTATCTTGGAGGTCTTCTTGTGGTTTAACTTTTCTAGAGGAAAATTTATACCTACCAAGTCATTTTTGTTCAACTACGCCAAACTACGGGTTGCGACTCATGATTCTAGTGTCTTGCATTGCATTAAAGTGATTTCATGAATTATCTGGTGTGTGACAAACATTAATAGGGACAGTGAATTATGTAGCCACCTGCTGTTGCTAACAGCTGTGACTGTGACCTGACCCTGTGCTGCCCCCAAACACCACTGGGAGGTTCGAATGAAATGTTGGAAATGAATTAAAGATCTCGCCAACTTGTGCCATGTTAGTTATTTCTAGATCACCAGCGTTAATTGTTTGGGTTTACAAACTCTGGCAGTTTATCCAACCTCCGGATTTAGACGTTCATTTTCCGTCTTCATGTTATATGTTTTATAACATATAAAACCTGTTATTTGTCCCATCAGGAACTACAAACGTCAATCATGTCTTATTGAGATTTGTGATCAACGCAAATTAATTACAAAGTCAAAGGATATCTTATGGTTTGCTCCCAGAATTGGCTCCCAGCTGCTGACTGGGTTTGGTAAAATCCACAATGATAGACGAATAAAGGAATAAAAGAAATTCAGCAGGCTGGATTTTATGTTATCCGGAACATGTAGGGGGTTTATTCACCTGGGACTGCTGGTCTTCTCCAGAGTAAATCCAGGAGAGAAGCTTCAGATATGATGTTCATGGGTGTGGGTTGGAATACGAAGAGGAAAGGAAGCTGACAGAAAAAACAGTTTTCCATCCTGCCTGACAGGAGTCTAGTCCCTTTGTCTTGGTAAGATATTCAATGAAACTCAACTGAAAACACACAAATGCGTCCAATGGAAAAAGTACCATAGTGTGAACATCCCTTCTGTTTCAGTTTCTACGTTAAACCTTCGTTTGTAGGAGTCAATCACCATGCCACATCTCAAGTCAGCCTGCCTTGAAAAGACAAATCTGTCCGACTGTGACGGTATTTTCAGGGGCACTCCGCATGTTTTCTGTCAGATTTAGTTCTGAACATTGGCAAGATCATCGTAAAACATGAATCGTTTGGTCGCTTTGGATGTGTTCTCAGTGACGCTGAAAACTACAATCCATTTTCATCTTCACCTAATAGAAACCTCCAGGCTTTGGTTCAGAGCTTATTGGTATTTGGAGCTGCTTCCTTTATTGCCATTAGAAATCTCAGTTTCATCAAAGAAAGTAACTGCTCCATATTTCGCTATTGGTGCCATGTTTTGGTAACGCTCATTGGTATTTTGGTGCCCAATTTCAAAGATGCTTCTGATCCTTTGTGACCTTTTTGCAAATTATGTCAAAGAAGGTGTATGTGGTGGTGGGGAAAAAAACTTAAATTATAGGTTAAACAAATTCAGAGTAGCAGACGGTAGGTGTGAACTCAGGAAGGATGCGTAGCAATAAGTTACTATCAGTTGTGACTGATAAGTTATTTTCTTCCCCAGGTCAATTCAGACTGTTATTTCTAATTTCAGCTTGCAGGGAGCGTGTTGTTTTCATAATGAGGCGCACAGCTGATGGCTCGGAGGCCCAGATAAGGCTGCTGGTTGCTAGAACGTCTCCATACAAAGAGATTCATTTATAAAATTAAAACGCTACAGTTTCAGTAACTTCCTCTCATTGTTCAAAGGCCTTGCTCGTCACCAGAGACTGCGCGACACTTCTAAAACTGATACACTGCTGCTAACAAAGATGATGAATTCCTGTAATGTTGGCATGGTTATGAAGATAATTCGTACACGGAAGGTATTTCAAAGAGCTTTGATGAGCATAGCAACATTTTTGGTTTTGTTTTTTTTTTTTTTTTGTTGGCTCTAGTGGCCTTTTTTTGAAAGTAATTTGACAGAAAACAGGGTAATGAGAGAGGGGGAAGACATGCAGCAAATGTTGCCAGGCCAGGAATTGAACCTGCGACCACTGGCATGAGGACTAAGGCCTCCATATGTGGGTTGTGCTTTGCCCCTGCGCCACCACAGCACCTCGAGTGTAGCACTGTTAAGAGGGTTTTCCTGTGATTTGGACTGGAAATATCTTGATTCTTACTAAAGTTAATTGAGAGGTTGTTTTACGCGTCACCAGCTCATATTGAATGTGTCTGTGTGACCCCTAAAGAGATTGTTTATCGTCTATTAGGAGAACCTCCCATTACTCAATGGAACAAGTAATCTTTTATCTATCGGCTGTTAGACGGAGATCTGGAGCCGAGTCAGAACCGGATCAGAACATAATATGCAGCAGAACGAAAACTGGACAACATTTTTCTAGTATAAAATAAGATGATCAGCTAAGTGGAGTTTTTTTTTTTTCATTCAATTCTTGGTGAAAATCTGACAATCAATTGATCATGTGAGTTCAGTAGTAAGTATAATAAGACCACTGGATGTTCCTTCGTTACTTTTTAACCCGTCTGTTGTTCTTGTCAGTAGAAATAATTTTTATTCTGTTTTCCATCCTTCAGTCTAGTTTATTAGTTACATTTCTATTATAAATCCATGCCATTATACATATATAGACTCAATTAGTCATTCAGTTTTTCCCTGTTGACATTACACCTGACAGAAAATGGATAATATCACCGAATGTTTAAGTGTATAATAATTAGTTGTTGAGTTGGAAAGGAAAATAATTTAGCAGACTGCTAAAAAAAAAAAAACCAACTACCCAGTTGTTGGTAAAGTACATGATTAATGTGTTCGTTAACTACATATTAGCATGATGTAATATTGCTCTGCAACTGAACGAGATGCTTCAGAGAAGCATTTGTTTAGTGCTGCGCACCATTTATTTATATCTCATATTGACTCAGCATATGTTTCAGTTGTAACAAACAAACCTGGGAAAAGATTTATCAAGATCTCACTTAATAACAGCGTCTACGACTCCAACACCTCTGGAAGCTAATTTAGCAAACGATGTTTTGCCTTGTTGAAGTGAAAGGAACCTTAAAGGGAATGGCTGAAGTTGCGTTTTCTTTTTTTCCAACAGCTGTAGATTCTGAAGCATTCTCAGATCCAATGTTGAATGCATTTAAAACTCTACGAAGTGTAAAGGAAGCGACTTTGTGACTGGAGCACAATTGAATCTGAGTCTGCGTTTGCTACAACACACCAATGTCCTGCATGTCGTACCTCGAGTCATGCTTTGGTGTGCAGCCCAGACCAATCATTCTTATCGGTCACGGTCGATGCAACAAGTCCAATCAGGACGTATAGTTTTAACTTGAATATAAAATCTATTCTTACCAGCGTGTCCTGCTTCCATTCATGTCCCATTTCAATGTTTTTTTGTTTTTCTTTTGTCTTCCTTGCCAAATTACCTGGAAGGCAACGCAGCGTTCTCACGCATATGGCTTAAGGGGGGAGTTTCTGTAGCTGAACAGAACCCAAATCCCCACAGAAGAATAAATGAGGATTTAAAAAAATGTGAAGCATGTAGTTAGTCATGCTTTTGGCACATTACCCATTTAAAAAAAAAAACTCTGTTCAGTAGACTCGCGACCTCCTATGGTGTCTGTTTATCAGTTGCTCATAATGCAAGAATTTGGGAGGGTGGATTTTTGCCAGATTAATTGGGACATGAAGCAGGAAAACAATTTATTAGTTTATAGAAGGTGAACTATGTGTTACATGAGTTCCACTGATTTTCATTCTGAGTCGCTGATGGGAGTAAATGCACAAAAACGCCCTTCCTCTTTGGGGTACCGAGACGTTCCGACCTGCAGATGCAGAAAGATGACGCTGCTGAAGCTCAAGGCGTTAATCCTCCTGAATGTATGCGTCTGAACGTAGCTAACTACACCCCGTAACAACACCAGTTTATCCTTATTCATGAGTCAGTGGTGCACAACAAATAAAAAAAATTAAAATAAAAAAAACAGTCACATGGTTCAGAGAATGTAGGACATGACACTCCTATGTGGTGCACAACTGCAGCACAGCTGGAACCGGAGTGGGTCCTCTTCCTGAATCAGTCATGGTAAATTCATGACACCGGTTTTCCTCTAATGTCAAGCGGCGCTCTTCGCGCGGAGAGACTGCTCATACAGGGAGTCACGTTCTTAGCGACGGTGCGCGATCGCTGCAGGATTTCCTGGCGCTTCCAAGGTGGAACAACTCGTTTGCCAAGGTAACGAGCTGCCGGGATTCAGGCGGAATCGTCCTCCTGCAGATTCGTGCTAAATCACGGCTAGGACTGGGAGCAAGATGGACTCCCAGCAGATGTGTGCCAGAACTGGCTCGCTCACTTTCTCAGTAAATTATTCCACTTTTTTTTTTCTTTTTTTTTTATTCACTTTGAGCTCAACTGGCTGCAAAGGATATTCTACCTGTCGAGTTGTATGTAAAGTCATCTGTATGAAAAAAAAAAAGGACATAAGCAGGGCTACAAAGGCTGCCAGAAAACATGATTTGGGAACCAAATTCTCCATAATCACATTGATATAGTGCTTACTGTCACTTAACTTCGCTTAAGGCCATGAATCTTGCTGTAAAAGATTATTTCAGCTTATTCTGGAAGTTACATGATTCCAATGAAATACCAAACCAAGACCTGTGGTCGGTAACGCCGCAATACGTAAGAATGTAATGAAATCGGGCTTTAAAATGTCATAAAACATCATTAAAACTGCATTAAGTAAAAATGCAAAATGTAACAAAGTTGAGCACATTTTGTAATACTTTGTCGTGTTGTGTAATATTCCTAGTACATTTTAAAGTCCAATTTTTTCACATTACTGAATGTTGCGACACATGCATGAACATCTCGACTAATCTGCACCGAGTCCTCGCCTCAACCTGACAGAACACCTTTGGGATTAAATAGAGCCAGGCGTCCAACATCACTGTCTGACCCTCAGAAGATCTCAGAGTTGTGCTGACTCAGGTTCAGCCTTTTGTTTTGTACCTCAAGTTTTTCTAAAATATTTAATATAGAACAATTATCATAGTTGATTTTCATACATCCTGTGTTCGATACCGACTTATTCTGTAATTTTATTCTTCTAGTTCGCTTTCCTTTTTTTCTATTGAGCTATTTTGCTAATTTTAACTCAAGCTTTAGTTATGTTATCCACAGATCCGTTTCATCCGATTCATATTTTTTGCACAGTGTTCCAATTACTTCCTGTTTTCCGAGGTTCACCTGTCTCTGAGATTTCAACCTCACAAGTTTTACCCTTTCTGTAGCTCTCTGCTCTCCCTCAGCTGTTTTTCATCTAATAATTAGTCGCCCTGTTTTCACGCTTTATTGCTTCCGCCATGCTT